ACTGGGTACATTGGCTCTTGGATCTCTAAGGAGGTGCTAATTTAGCCTCTGCCTGAGGCTACCCAGCAGGAGCTATGGAGAGATCTGCAGATTCCTCTTCTTTGTTTGGGGTTTGGAGGTGCCCAGATGAGGCCCAGCTGTGAAGCAATGCAAGCTGCTGTGGGGCCTTGGGCCTTCTGGGTCTCTCTGTCCCAGCTGCAGTTTGTTAGGTAATTTCAGATTGCAAAGGGCCAGGCCATTCATATGCAAAAGGCTGGGTGCACAGCTTGGGTGGGGCAGGGTCTCAGGGAATCTACAGGGTGGAGCAAACAGCTATGGCTGATCCTCAGCCATGCCCTAAGAGGCCCCAGGTCTCAGTGTCCCAGTAATGGCTGCAAGCACCTCTGAGAGAAAGCCGCCCTTGAGTTCCGACCAATGCCAGACAGTCCAGTTTCTCCCTGTATGGGACCTGCCAGACAGTCCAGTTTCTCCCCGTATGAGTCTGGGTCCCCAGAGACTCGCCCAGAACTGGAGTTCAGAGGCATTGGGAGCTTGAGACTCCCTCCCGATTGAACAAAACAACCGTGTCCTCAGTTGCCAGCCCTTTCCGCGTGCGCCTCCGTACCTCTGCACTTTACTTCTGCACCTCCTCTGAGTCTCAGTGTGCTTTTCTTTCCTTCTAGTTGTAGAATTTCCACTCAGCCAGCCTTCCTGTGGTTCTGGATGATGTCCGTTTTGTCTTTTAGTTGTATTTTTGAAGTGGTTGTGTGAGGCAGCAATTTCCAGTATTTACCTATGCCGCCATCTTCTATAACTTCATTTTCCTTTCCAGTAAAACGCAGATAATATCAGCTTTCTAGCTACTTCATAGAGTCAGTAATATAAAATAATGCAGCATTAGATGTGAAACACTTCTTCAAGTACAAATATGAGCTATAATTATTTTTAATAAGACCAATAATTACCTTCTACTTTTCCCATTATATGTACTGTCAATATCTCCCTCTAAAACCAAATTAATGAATCTGACTATTTAATTATGTGAATAAATGGAGGTTCATGGGCACATCATGAAAAATAGACATTATGTACTGTTTTCAAGCAAGCTTTAATGAAGAGTCCCTTTCAAACAACAGACTAAAAGTTGGCTTTCAAAATAACCTTTCATTTTATGTTCTACATTCACTCAATCTAATCAAGTCAATTAAATATGTCAATTACAAAATATGGCAATTAAATCACCTAGCAACTAATAGAGCACACATTTCTGTGTACAGAGAAATATCTACACTTTGACACCTGGTTCTTGTTTCTGAGTTTTTTCAAGCATCTAAAATTTCTCATATAATTCTAAATAGCCCCTAACTTTATATCCTGACCTTACCACACACTAGTCTACAAAATAAGACACAGGAGTTCTTGGCATTTGGGGGGCTTTATACTACAAAATGAAAAACAGGCTGCAAAAAATTATGCAACCAACAATTCTTTCTCCAAAATAAAATATTTATCCAATATTTTGCTGAGCTCACTGTTTAATATAGAAGAGAAAATTCCTAAACAGAAAAGAGTCTTAATAAAGATCTGGACACAGATACTTGAATCATTTAATATACCTAAGACTATATATAACAATATTATTTTTCTTTTCTAAAATATAATGAATTATCTTGTTATATTTACTTAGCCTTAATAATTCAGTTACAAAGGGTTTAGATCTTTTTAATCAACTCTACATTGAAAAGAAACTCTTGCTCCTAAGGTTAAAAGTGCAAATGCTAAGAGACTGTAGGGGGTTCAAAATTTGGTCCTGCTCCTCCTCTTTAGCTGTCTGATCATAGGCAAATTACTCAACCTCTCTGTGCCTGAGTTTCCGCATTTATAAAATGGAAATTTCAACACGTACCTAAAAGGGTTGTTGTGATAGCTAAGTGACCACAAATAAAGAATTTAGAACAGTGCCTAGCACATATTAACCTTTCAATTGGTGTTGTGATTGTTATTGTTATTTCCCGTACATTTTTCCATCTTTGATTAACACTTAAGTGAAAGCAATAACAATTGGCCAAAATATCTACAAATAATCCAGAATAATAAAATGGCCAAACCTTTGTGATTACGACTGTTGAGGCTAAAAAGTCCTAAAAATTATTCAAAATGGTTAAAGATGTTAAGTTGAAAGTTATATAAGACACACCCATAATAATGCTGTTAGAATTAAATATATGATAGAGAAAAAAACTATCCGGATAAGGTTAAATTAATTATCCATAATTTAATGAGACATTGATAAGACTTCATATTTTTAAAATAATCTCAAAATGCCTTGAAGTAGATTAATGAAACTGATTTTTAATGGTGGTCACAATAGATATGACATACTTTACATATTGAATTTTTTATGTAAGCCAAAAAACAATTCTGAATCTCTTATACCTTTTCTAGTGAATAGCTAGAAAATTTCCTGTAAGAATGAAAGAAATGTTATTTCTATTTTTGCTCTTAAAGATCAACATATGTATTGAGAACTCATCAGAAGTTAAAAATTTAAATTTCATAGCTCTCTAAATACTTTTAAAGAAAACCATATATGTGACATCCAAAAGCCTAAACATAACTCAAATATTAAATGTAGGATTAGAAAGAAAGGGGATGGAATTAGGGTGAGTTTTGCAGTAGGCAAATAGAAAATTCAAATTGAATAACCAGCTTGTTGTAGAACATAGATTTAAAAAAATAGATACTATAAAATTGAAGTAACTCAAAATTCATAACCCATTAAACCTTAGGTCAGTCTTTACAGTAAATACTTTCATCTGTAAGTAATTAAGAATATTCCAAACCATTCACTTACATTGGAACTTAAGAAATATGGGCTGTTCTACTTACTCCATTTACATTTGCTTTAGCTTGTGCTCCATATGTTTCTTCAGATCCTAAAATTTGTATGTGAACTTTGCTATAATCTCCTAAGCCAGCTTTTTCAAACATAAGACGAGTTCTGCAGCAAAGTATAGGTGACAAAAAAAATTCATGAATTTATGGTAGATCAACTCCAACATTCCTTTAGTTTTGGTTCTTTTTTATTTTTTATTTTATTTTATTGCTTAAAGTATTATAAAGAGTAGTACATATGTCTCCTTTTCTTCCCCATTGACCATCCCCTGGCCTCCCCTACCCCCCAGTATCTTGCATCCATTGGTTATGCTTACATGCATGCATACAAGTCCTTCAGTTGATCTCTTACCTCTCCCGCTCAACCCTCCCCAGCCTTTCTACTGTAGTATGACAATCTGTTCGATGCTGCTCTGCCTCTGTATCTATTTTTGTTCATCAGTTTATAATGTTCTTTATTATCCATAAATGAGATCATGTTATATTTTTCTTTCATTGACTGGCTTATTTCACTTAGCATAATGCTCTCCAGTTCCATCCATGCTGTTGCAAATGGTAAGAATTCCTTCTTTTTTACAGCAGTGTAGTATTCCGTTGTATAGATATACCAGTTTTTCATTCATCTGCTGATGGGCATTTAGGCTGTTTCCAAATCTTAGCTATGGTAAATTGTGCTGGTTCTTGATAAAGATCACCCATTTTGGATGTTAATAACAATTCCAGTTGAAGGACTGGGGCAATTTAGGGCATTTGGGGTATCAACTCATTCCTGAATATTAGCTTTAGCTTCAAATCACAACATTTGGTATGTTATAGCTTCAATGCCCTAATTTTCTAAACAGTCTAAAATTGAAGAGTTTTCTCTTTGCCCCAACAATTACAGGTGCAAGTACTTTTTAGGTGTCTGAGGGATTAGAGTTTAGTTGCTTAAAGTTTTATTATTAATCTGTTGGATTACATATGGTCAAAGGCTGTGATCTGCAAAATTTCTGTTTCCTGAAATGGAGTAAGGTAGCCTTGAGGATGCTTGGAAACAAGGTGCATACTTGTCTGTTGGGAGAAAATGTTCTATCTGTAGCTATTAATTCAACACTATTATATTATTCTAATACTCTATGTTCTGTTTAAATTAACTTGATAAATACTACGATCTGTTAAAGTCTTCCACAGCAATTGTATTTCTCTCCATTTTTCTTAATGTATCTAGCAGTTCTGACCTAAATGTCTCAATGCCATGTTATTTAGCATATTTACATGAACTTTACTGGGTGTGATACATTTTATGCCATTTAAATTCTACTTTACTATCACTATCAACTCCCTTTGTATTTTCTTTCTCATTCTCTTCCTCTTCCTTTTTTACCTCCTCACCCTTTTTCTTGTTTCTTGCCTATTCTGATATTTTTTACTTTTTTCAATTGTTTTATTTCAATGCACATTATAACACTTGCTTAAATATTGATTTTAATCGATTCTAAGAGACTACCATTTAAAAAATATTTTTATTGATTTCAGAGAGAGGAAGGAAGAGAGAAATAGAAACATCAATGATGAGAGAAAAATCACTAATCAGGTGCCGCCTGAACACTCCCTACTGGGGATGGAGCCTGAAACCTGGGCATGTGCCCTGACTGGGAATGAAACTGTGACTTCCTGGTTCATAGGTTGATACTCAACCACTGAGCTACACTAGTTGGGCTAAGAGACTATCTTTTGATTGAGCTATTTATAACATTTATGTTCACTTACACAACTATGATTTTGACTTGACTTTTGACATCTTGTTTTATGCTTTCTTTGTTTTAATGTTTGCTTTGTTTTAATGTTTGCTTTGTTTTAAGACTTTTGGAATAGTCATTCATTCAGCAATATTTACTGAATAATGTGTGTCAGATATTGTGATATATAACTATGTTTTCATTGCTTTTATTTTATTTAAGTACCTACAAAGGTACTTATCTTTTAGGTTTATCTGTTTAAATATCACTTAGTAAAGCCTTCCTTACCTGCTAAATTTAAATTATGTTCTCCTATTATTCTTTTTCATAACACTCTTTTCTTTTTATTCAAAGTACTTTTCAAATCTTTATTTGTCAGTTATTAGTTTAATGTTTATCCACATACTAAACTCCATGAGTATAGCCATCCTGTCTGCTCACAATTATATAGTCAGGGTCCAGAAGTGATTGGCATGCAGTAAGTAATTCAAATGTTAGTTGAAAGAGAGAATTAATTAATTCATTCATTGACAATGTTCAAATTGTAGTTGTCTTTAACTTAAACACACTTGGATTCTATATGAAATGATGGTATCATGGGCTATTTCATTCATTTTCCTGTTTATATTTTTTTGCACCTTAAAATGTTTTATGATCATCATTGTTGGTGAAGAATTGAAATACGGTGGTATGAGTTTCTTCTCATTAAAAAAGAAATTAGCATTAATTTGCCTTTTTATATCAGTCATCAATACTTATTTTTATTAATAGGGGTTTGAATCTTTAACCCAGATTCTCCTGATTAACTCAATAACATACTTTAAATGCATAACATAGTAGGGAACTTTACTCCTGTGGATAGGATGTGAATTATTTGATTCGAGCATTAGAAAATTTATAAAAGTTGTTAAATTTGGTTACAGAAATATCATAAAATTACTTTATATGGATTTTTTTTTTAAAAAAAAGAGAACTCTCTGGGACAAATGAAATTATTTCCTGACACCAACACTTGTAGGCGCCATATGACCTGTGAAAGGGCCAGTTGTTTCTGACTCCATTGCCTGTGTGCATTATGTTAACTTTCTAAACATAATCTTTAGGTTAAGACAAAGAAAAGTATAGGTTTTTTAGTAGAATTTAGCATCCATGAAACTTTTCTAACACCTGTTCCTAGGTATCAGTGCAGACTAAACTGTAAAATTGTTGGTGCAGGGCTCATTTGTATCAGTACCTGTTGCTTACTGTGTATGTGCTGAATGAACATATAAATACTTTCAGGGGAAATGTTAAGTGACCATAATATGATTTTAATGATTCCTGTTAAATAACTTGATCACTGCCATGCTTTAAATTTAGTTAGACTAGAAAACACATCTTTTTGTTTCATGTACAAACCTTTTCAAAATACTTTCAGCTGTTCTCCTTGCCTTTTCAGTTGCCTTTGGCCCTCCCATTGGGCAGACAGCAGTGGCTCTGAAACCATCATGATAAGAAGCGCTTACCTGATGACATAAGGTTACAAATATAAACAACAGTATCCTCTAAGCCAACACTAATATGCCCTAGAATGGACCATATAACTACTGAGCAGAAATTTATCTTTTCAGTTCCAAGTACACTTAAAGTTGCATTTTCTTAAATGAAATAATGACTTTCATAGAAGTAAAGTGGAAGCTTTAAAAATTGATCGTGGGACCCGGCCAGTGTGGCTCAGTGGTTGAGCTTTGACCTATGAACCAGGAGGTCACAGTTTGATTCCTGGTCAGGGCACATGCCCGGGTTGCAGGCTCAATCCCCAGTGTGGGGCATGCAGGAGGCAGCCAATCAATGATTCTCTCTCATCATTGATGTTTCTATCTCTCACTCACTCTCTCTTCCTCCCTAAAATCAATAAAAATATATTAAAAAAATAAAAATAAATGGTGGGAGGCAAGGTCATAATAAAAATGTAATTTCATAGTAGAAAGTTAGAAAAATATATAAAAACTGTTTTAATCAGAATTGTGGCTTTATTTTTAATGGAGACATGGCACAGTTTCAAGAAACTCAAAGCTCTAACTGCAAATGTTAGCATAGATCTTATAAGTACTGGTTAAAATTATGGAAGAAACTGGCCCAACTGTGAAGGCACATCCTGATTACCAAATGACAAAAACTGAAGAACAACAACTCAAGAGTAAATTCAGACTTAAGGTTCATTATAAGAAATATGTTCTTTAAAAACTACTTTTGAGTCAACACTGAATTCAATGTTACTTAAACATTTTACTAACTAAATTAACTAGATAATTAATTACAACTATATTTGACCTTGATTTCTGAATTTAGAAAAATGTTTTTTGTGGCTTTAATTGTGCTATTTAAGCTTCCAATCAAACTTTTTCTTCTATTTGGGACGAGAATTTGGAAATACTCCATTGGAAAAAATCTAAATGTCCAACAAGGATGTAATGTTTAAGTAAACTATGATATATGCCAATAATGGAATGCTACGGAGCACTTTTGAAATAATGTTAAAAGTATTTAATCATGAAGAAATGCTTCTAATGTTAAATTAATATAATCAAAATATCTAAATATGTGTTTATATTTGTGACTGCCACTCATGTTTGTTTATTCTAGTTTGAGTTGTCTCTTGCAATCAAAAAGTCCTAACTAGAATATTTGTAGATTATAAATAACAAGTCCATTTTTAAAACTTCAGTTTGCCTTTTTTAAAAACTGATGCTCTACTTTTAGAAAGAGCATCACCTCATAGCCTTCAGAGCCCTGTTAAAGCAACAGCCTAAAAAAAAAAAAAGCACATTTGCCTAAATTTTGTTTTCTGCCATGAACATATCACATCTAAAATAGTAACATTTTTAATGTCATACAGATATATGTTCTCTGTATTAATACTTCAAAACCTATCCTCTGGTCCTTCTCTATGGTGCTTTGTAATTGTGGTACTACCATACACACCTGTAGTTTCATATAAATAATGATTACCCTAAATTTAAGGAATTGCCATAGTATGAGTTCTGGAATTTATATATACCAATTAATCTTACCAATATCAAGAAACCAAAGATGGTCTGTGGGCTTGTCCTCCCCTCCCCATGTTCTCTGTCTATTTTCTACAGGAAATTAATACTTTACGCCTAATTCAATCCCCTATCTATTGCACAGAGGGAAATTAATGTGCCTCCTCCCTGAAGTCTAAGCAGGTAACAAAATCACACAAGAGAAAAGACCTTATAAAAGGAAGAAGGAAGCGACCCCTTTGCTCCTTGGACCCGAACCGCTCCACCTTCAACACCTAAACATTAAAGAGAAAATCAGGATCACTTATTTCAGTACAAAATCTGTTCATTACTTTTAATACACAGCTGTGTTTTTTAAATTAACTCAAAAATTAAAGAATGGAGAATATGAGAAATTCCCCTAAAACAAGAAATGCAACTTATTTTAACTTGCTATCTATTTAAATTACATCATTGACAAGATCACAACTGGCCTCTTAAGCTTCTGAACACATCCTTGTGAAATGAAAAGATCGTTATCAGCCTCAGCAATAAAATGGTCATTACTTAGTGAAGTGTCAGAGAAGTTGGGCTAATTACAGCTTAATACAGTTCACATTCTCATCTCATAAATGCAGCCGTGTGCCATTTTACATGTCTGTGTCCATACTATCATCTCTCTGAACAAAGTAATATCTAAAACACTACTCAGGATGAATAAATTATGGTATGAAAATAAAGTGGGTGTTAATAAGAATTGATTCTAAGCAAGAAGATGTATTATCAGTGGATAAATAATATACATGCCTGCATTAATTGGAAAATGTGATAAGATGTATCATAATTTTGTAGACAATACGTAATTTTCAAGAGAAGCAAAAATCTTAGTCACTATCTTCATATCACTGAAAGCATTCTGAGAGTTTTTAAATCTAACTTACTTAACAATATTTGCGCAATCAATAATAAAGAAAACTTTAATTTCTCAAAACAAAGATTACAAGGGTATTATAGCTTTATCACACTTTTATCTTTAGTATCTATTTGATCAAATAGACATTTTGTTTCTGGGAGCAAAAAGTTGTTGAAGGAGCAAGGATTTGAAAATCTGGGAGACCTAGATTTAAATCCCAGTTTAGCTGTGTGTTCTCAGTCAAATTACTCAGCCTCTCTGCCTCCCTTTCCTCTTCTGTAAAATGAACATACAAACTACTTCAAAAGAGAGCTGCAGCTTAAATACTTATAAGGAGCCTATCTCACACCATGGCAGTACCAGTAACACAGTGGTGCTCAATTAATTTCCCTCTTCCTTTCTCAAGTGACCGTTCAGAAACCCCCATGCATTTTGAACTGAGTTCCTAGCTGCAAACTATTCAAAGTGAAAAACATATCTGATTCATATGCTACAACCTGAAATGAACCTTAAAAGGCCCTAGTATCTCAATGATTTGAAACAATATTATTGCAATAGGTTCAATAAAGCTCTCTTAGAATTTCTTACATTTTATGACCCAGGTTAGCTTTGTCTTTAAATGCATTTACAAGTATCGGTTTAAAATCAAGAAGCCAAACAAAAATATATGATCCGAACCTCTTAATTCAGGCATATAACATAACTAAACAGCCTGCAGTACCATAAAGTCAGCAAAGTAAACACCGGACAGAGATAGCTGGCCTCGCTGTCTCTGTTAAACATGTCAAAGTACAGCATCTAAAAATATTTGAAAAATCTGCCCAATTTCCATCTGTTATATTTCTCAGAGGATAACTAAAAGTTCATGTGAAAGTTCATGGAAAGTTCAAATATGTCATGTCAGGGCATTTACAGGGTAAAAGTTCACTCGGAGTTTATTATTTTTTTAACAGACTGAAGTGGAAAAAGAATAAATATACTAATTAAAGTTATTTTATATTGCATTACGACCACCGCATTTTAAAGCATCATAAATACAAATTATACATTTTAGAAGGCCATGTGCAATGCATAACGGCAACAATGATGATTTGCCTAGGATAGTAGCCTTGAGACTGTTCTTAGAGAAGCAGCTGCAGATCAATTTTGGTTGTTCTCCATATTATTTAAAGAACAAATTGTCACATTTTATCTGGTATTGAATACTTTGTTTAAACTACATATTTAGAAACCGTACTATAGAGATATAGGAAAAAGAGAGGAACATCAGAAATAATAAATGAATACAGGCATACCTAATTTCACAAATATTGCACTTTTCACAAATTGAGGTTTGTGGCAACCCTGCGCCCAGAAAGTCTATTGGTGCCATTTTTCTAACAGCATTTGCTCACTTCTCTTATCTGTGTCACATTTTGGTAAGTCACAATATTTCAAAGTCTTTCACTGTTATATTTGTTACTAGAGGCCCAGTGCACAAATTCGTGTAAGGGTGGGGTCCACTGGCCCAGCCCAATCAGGGCCGGGCCAGCCGGGGGTAGGGGCCACAG